AAGGCGTCTTAGCGCGGTGCATGGGCAACTGGCTGAGTCAGTGGGATCGTCGGTTCGAATCCTACTGAAAGAAGTCTGATGAGGAAATGTGGTGATTTCCGAAATAGCTATCACTTCTACCATTTTTTCAAATTGTTGTTGCTTTTCCACAATAAATTTTTCATTTAAAAATGGCCTCGAGCTCATTATAAAAAAAATTGTTGAATATAATTGTTAAATGGCCAAAAAATAACAAAAAACAAATAAGTTATAGAATAATATTAATGAAATATTTTCTATATAAATTGAAAATGTTTATGATAACTTAAATTTTAGCTCTGTCTTCGAATTACTTAGAGAGCGAATAACGAATCGTGGAAACATCGTATTACTTTGTTTCGATCAAATTACCTCACATAAATCAAGTGCGTTCAGACTTGCTTTCATAATTTCTATACATTATTTGATTAGTATGTGTCTGCTTTGTATTTGATAAAAAATGGTTGCATATCTTTAGACGCTTTTCTAATTTCTTCATTCATTTGGTTCTAGATTTATGATAAATTATCAACTTTTTTTTTTAATTTTTTTTACATGACGAAATCACTTGATTTTAGCATGATTTGCTTATAAATTTCGAATGAGCTGGAAATTACGATAACGGGAACATGCTTTAAACTAGACATTCGATACGGAACAGAATCTCTCAAAGCCAAAGAGTTGACAAGTCTTTCAAAGCAAATTTTGATGATTGACAATAAACATCTTTAGGTTTAAAATCATTAGCTTAATCTTTTATATGACATTCACACCTTAGAAAAATTGTTAGTTGAATCAATTTACCGTGCTATTTTAACAAAGACACAAATTTCAACGGGTCACAATTGTATGTAAATTTTATGTGCTAAAAAACGAAGAAAATTAAAATTTTTTTTTTTTTTTTGTTAAAATGGGGCTGTAAATTTCCCCAAAATTTTGATGCAAATTAGGAAAAATGTTATGTGTAATTTAACTTAGGCGCCATTGTTGAGGAAGTTTACAAATAGTGCGTATTGTGAAATCAAGTACAAATCACACACTCATAATGCCTTCGTATTATTTAGTATTTACCGGGTATAAATCTGCAATGAATCATTTTGTCAATTGCTCAAGTTCAAGCGCCGAAATGTAAGTATGTATGTATATGTACATACGTATATCCCAGCAATTGAGTTCAATCATATACATAGCAGTACTCATAAAATATATACTTCCATATGCATGCACTTTCATATAAATGTGCATACATATTTCTGTATATAGGTATGCATGTACATGCATACATATATGTTTGCGCATATACATATATAGATTAGTTTAAAAATTCATTGATGCAGTGGGTACATACCTCTTTTTACATTAAAACTCATCGGAATGCAATCAACTGTTTCTACTGACGATATACATACATAACACGGGAGCAGGTGCAAATGTATAAATTTACGCGGAGATGCTCACTCATAAGTATGTATCTTAACTTAAAACAAGTTTTTTTTTGCATAACCGGTGAACTGGAATATATAAGGTATACATACTATATTTAGTACAGATTAAAAAAAATAAATAAAAAAATGGTTAAAGAGTACACGTAATTGTGCCTTCCCAGTCAGTAAAAAATTCGAAAACGGAAAACAATGTGGATGAAATGCGGAGTTTGTTCGTTTATCGGTTTCATTTTCGGATACTTTGACGATTCGTTTTCCCACTAAAGTGCGCGGCAGAAACGTATGTAGATCTAAAAAAATGTCGAAAATGTTTGTGAAACGGTCACGTTTTGGGATGTTTTTCTCAAATTTGTCTAATAGAATTTTTTGTTCAGTACGCTTTGCCTTTGCATTTCACAGATGCTTTTTCTTAGTTCGGAAAAAATAAATCTAAAAATAACCAATATTTTTATTGCGTCTGACGGCATTCGAACCTGGGACTTCCTGAAAGTTTACAAATAGTAGCATGCTCCCCTCATATATAGTTTTCGAACTATATGATCCATAACAGAAACCACATATGTAAATATGTAAAATTATTCACAATTATTAATCAAATTTCAAAACATTTTCACTTAAATTTTAAACTTTTATTCAGAATGTTTAGAAAACTTTCGACTGCAGTTTTGTAGCCCATTCAATTTTAAAAAATAGAATGCAAGTTTGAAGAAGCTAAAAATTTCCGTTGATTTTTGAGAATTTTTGTTTACCGAGGGTGTTACTGATTTTATTCCATACGTTTGAACGCATGAACAAAATTTATATGTACATACATATATGGAAAAAAAGTTTCGATTCGATTTCACTTTTCATTCTGAGTTTTTTCGATCGAGTTAACGATCGTTGGATATAAACGGAAATGAATTACCACCCACTGTATACCGAGGAGTAATGACACCATTTTCTTATACATATCAGCTGAAACGGCGCTGACACAGATAAATGGCCACCGCACACTGGGGCCGCCCCATATAAGTGGGTGGTCAAAATTCTGGAATCATTTTCTTTCTATTAGACTCACTTGAACTACTTTTTAAGAGTAAATTTTTGACGTCTTAACCCATTATTGATCATGCTCCCAGCCAAAAAAACGATAGAAAGCTGAAAACTTACCCCCAAATGTAAAATTTAGGGGGGAATAAACCTGCGTTTTTATTTTTCCAAAAAAACATTTTTTAATTTGAATTTTGAGCACGCTTGGCCCCAATGTGCATCGTTTTCCTGAAACGTAGTTTTCCATTTTATCACATGTTCCCAATCGAACTCATATGTATGTATGTACATATATACTACATTTATGCGTTTGTCATTTCACGCAATCATTACATGGAGCGTAGTTAAAAATGGCTGCATAAACACCATTTCATGAATTCAATTCATGTATTTGAACTAGCAGTGTATTCATTCGTGCCCATAGATATGTCTGTATGTATGTTTGAATACTTTCTGAAACGACTATGGCGCCAAATTGACCCGGCAACATTTTAACTTTCACTTTCACCTCGTACAAAAGGAGTGCATGTCACTGCAAGTGCGCCACATGCGAAACTTGACCATTAAGTGTAATCCAGTATGTACATATCTTTGCGAGGGCAGCCATTTGCGTACTTGAGCAAGTGGTGTAAGTGAAGGCGACTAGGCGTTGTTGATGGGCTGCATACTAGGGAGCGTCAACGGTTGGATGAACACTTTCGTTAGACGTGTTACAACTGGGTGTATATTTATGCATGCAAAGTCGTGCGACGCTGTGCAGTCGTAGCAATTTCAATGCACTTTGTTACAAACACTTTGGGTGTTGGCGAGGAGCTACATATGTTGTATATGTATATACATATATTTTTATACAAAACTGGCATTTACTGCTTGTAAAAATGTTAAGGAAAATAGAATAAAATCAAATAGAATTTGAACGGTTGCCAAGTAACTAGTATTAAAGGACAGCTCTTATCGTCAGCTTGGCGCCGCTTTAGCCCTTGAAAAACATTGAGGACTATTTTTTGGCAGACAAAGGACACATATACATAAACATACATATGTGAGTGTGCAAAATGATAAAGTGAAACTTTTTATACAAGGGCTTATTAAAGAATGTATGTATTGTACATAGTTAGACATTATTTATTATGTCTAAAGTGACATGTGCTTTCCCAGGAGCGGGTGTGTCCTTATGCTGAAAATGTAAATACACACATACATATGTGCATATGTTCATAGGAACATAAGACTAAATAAATGAAAAATATAGCCCAGACACGATTTAATTTTTGTTTTTTTTTTGNGGCAAACATGCAGAGCCATGGCGTATGCGTGACACATTAAAGGCTAATTGTGATACGTATGTATATGCACGTGTATCAGCATACACAATTAAAGGAACGCCATGTTAAGAGCTTTTGGGCATCAACTGATTTACACTTTTTATTAAAATTTTAATTACAAAATACAATTACTTATGTATGTATTTGACGCTTGTACATATATATGTATATATTATTATGCTGGGAATTATGATCTGAAGGTTCTTTAGGCCTCTTTAGTTCAGCTTTTTTGGCGATGATGAATTGTTGTTAACTGTTTTATTGTTTTTGATTTTAAATGATAAATGATTTTCGTCATCTTTGTACACTTCTTTGTAGTTTTCATATATTTGTTAACATCTTTTGTTTTTGTAAAATTACAAACTATCGCGATTACATGCACACATACATATTGTATATATACAGTTGTTGTCAACTAGTTAAACCAGCGACATTTTGACCAGATCTGGATACTTTTCTGTTATTTATATGTTTTTTTTTTTTTTTTATAAAAGTCTAGTGCATTATAAAACAAAACCATATAAATCCACATTTCAAACTTTGTATAAAATTTTAAACATTCAACAAATTTTTATCAAAATTTCCAAATTTTTCAATAATTTTAGGAATGCAGTTGTATAGCCCATTAAATGTTAGTACATATGTTGATTTTTGGCAATTTTTTTTGTTGTTGGCATCAGCCTTTTCTTCCTTACAAAGTTAGTTCGACATTTTTTTATATGAAAGAAAACCGCAACACCTGTAGCAAAAAAATTATCAAAAATCAACGGTATTTTGTAGGCACTTGAAACTTCCTACTACTTGAGTCCTACTAAAATTTAATGGGCTTTAAAACTGCACACTTACAATTTTCTACAAAATTCTGAATAAAAAGTTTAAAATTTTAGTGAAAATTTTTTTGATTTTTCCCGAAAGTGTGAAATGCGCATTTTATTACATACATACATATGTTATTGATGAGTTAGACTTTTATAAAAAAAAATATTAAACATTAAATAAACAAAAGAAATATAGCCAACTCAGGTCGAAATAAAGCGTTTCTATTATTTCTGTCACCACTGTATGGATTTTCAGAAGTACATATCTATTTATATACATACGCACTCGCATATATGTAACTAGCCTCAAATTTTAATTCATAATTGTTAATGTTATCTTATTTTTCTCTATCTCATTACAGCGTTATTTATTTCATTAACTTAAGCAACTAAATAAACTAAACAACAAAACAAAATGAGCTCCGCTGAGTATTATCCATTCAAGGTGAGTTTTGGATCAAGAAATTTATAATTATAAATAGTTATTCTTCTTAAAATTGCTTGGGTATGAGTAACATCTATCCATATGTACATACGTGCCTCTAAAGTACATAGAAGCTTGTTATTGAACGTAATTGTTTATCAAAAGAATTCAAGCGTTGACCAGCATCCATAAATTTACTCTGCGGCATTTTAAAATGCATACATTTTTCAACGGCTAACATTTTTTTTTAGTGGGCAGTTATCATCGAAAGCGAACTTGCATACATACATATGCATACACACCGTCAGTGTGAGATTTAAGCCCACTAAACCTTTTGCCGTCCAGTACCGATTTTTCCGGCACTACCTTTAAGTATTTCGTAGTCGTCTGCCGAGTCATTTGCCCAAACTTGTGCCCCATAGAGCGACACCAATTTCGGGTCTCCGGCCAAAAGTTGCCTTCTATTTTGTTTGATACCACGTGTATTAAGCATCAAAGCGATGCATATTTTCCCATTAAGTCCAGTCACTCATCTATAAGCATTAAATATGAATTGGCTAGCATGGAAATCTGATCTAGATACTTAGTTACTAATACAACTGCAATATTGCCTGCAAAAGCTACACACTTACTTTGAGAAGTTGAACAACAATACTCCGTTATAAATTTTATTCGAGAATAGCGGTCCTAAAGTAGTTGGCGGTTATTCTAATCGCGAAAAACTATCCTAGTGCCGCTGGAATCTTTTAACAGATGTCAAGATAAATTAATTTTTAATATCCAGAGTAAACAAGAACTAAGCAATTGATTTTTCTTAAAATTTCAGAACTTTTACTCGACCTCTTCAAATAAATTTAAGTAAAAGGTCTGACATTTTAAGAAAAATCAATTGCTAAGTTTTTATTTATAAGGCCCAATATATGGAACTATTCAATAATCAAACAGTTTCATTAAGGGTTTCACAAGGCGCCGAAAAATCTTGTATTGTTGTTTATCATAAATTACACTGTGGTACAGATTTTTTTTCTTGGTTATGAACCAGTGATATATGATTTCCCTAACCTAAAAGTGCAAAAACACAGTTTTTGACGTATTTGAGGTTAAGTAGCATCGCTAATGAATGTTTTCATAGAATGCCATTGAGTTTGCTCAAATATCGTTTTTTTTTGCCAAGTTATGACATTTTGATATTTTAATGGTTTATAGGTTATAGGTTCTCGAATATGTACACACACTGCCGGCAAAAAGTATTGGCACAGCTGCATTTTTACAATTATGCAAAAATTTTAATTGTAATATTTTCCCGCCAATTCTTTTATAATTATATTGTTCATTCTACAACAGAAAACATAAAAACCTAATTTCTTAACTTTGTGCAAAACTCGCGAAAATTCATCAAATTTTCATGTAAATTTTTACGTTTTTAATCAGGGCATGAATCACGTATGACGACAGTCGTCTGAACGATATCGTGTCGAGATTGTCTTGCTTCATAAAAATCAAAAATTGTTTGATAGTTTGTGCGATATCGTCAACTCGATTCCAGTTTTGCTTCACGTAACAGTAACACAAATGCATAAATCAGTGTTTTGACAACATTGTTTTGTCAGTATCGTTTGAACGACTTCGTTTCAAAGTTACGTGATTCATGCCCAGATTTTTTAGAAATTTTGTGCCCAAAAATTTTATTGTAATACAATTTTGTAGCCCAAAAAATTTTATTGTAATAAAGTAGAAGTTCTAAGTAGCTATAAATTACCATTGATTTTTGGCAATTTTTTTATCATACAGTATGAACCATATTTTTATAAAAAATTGGCGGAAAAATATTACAATAAAATATTTGGAATATATTGTAAAAAAGCAGCTGTGCCAATACTTTTTGTGTATATATGTAGAAATTCATAAATATTAAAATTTCAAAACGCGATGCCTCGGCGAAAAAAAATATACATATTTGGGCAAACTCAATGGCATTCGAAAGGGGAATCGATTTCAGCCTCGAAAGTTATAACGGTTAAAAATTAAAACCTTGATTTCAGTTTGTATGAAGTAGTTCTCAAGCACATGACGATTATTATGAATACTATTTCAAAAATGCAAACAGCATTCGGTACAGCAGTTCCCTTTTTTCAGTTAGTGAAAGTAAGCCATATGCATACATACATGTACATATGTACGTATATTAAAAAAACACATATCTTTTTGTGATGCCTGCCGCAATCTAATCAGTATGTTTATATGTACAGAAATGGCTGCTAAATATTTGCAAATATGATAAATGATTTTGCTATCGGGTTTTGTTTGTTCATTTTTCTTACTATGTACATATATATACGCGAAAGAACATACTGTTTGTTTGTACGACATATGCACATACATACATACATAAGTAGTATGCGCATATTCTATACATGGATGAAAATGCTTAATGAAGCTCAAAAGTTCGTGTACAAACTTTTAGGTAAACGGCAATAATCATTTGTATCAGGCTGCTCAACTCGTTTGTAATGGATGATGATTGAAAGCACACTTAAAGCTTCTATGCATCGAGCATTTATGTTATTTAAAGCAAAAGGTTTAGTGAAGTATTGGCTTGAAACTGTGGCACTTTTTTGAAATTTTTTATAGAAACGTAGAACAATCCTTAATAAATTTAAAAAGAAACTACTAGCGAACCCGCATAACGTTAAAACACTTAAATTATTGGTCAAGAAATTCAACACCATAGAAGAAATTGTCAAGAATTGCGAAAATTGTTTTTGCAACAATATACCCTATAACGCTCTAAAAACTCTAATTTGAAGAAATAAAAACTTATAGAAGTCTACCTTTATTTTTAACCTAATTTTTGAAATTCGAATAAACGATGCAGATCTGATGACCTTCACAAAAAAAAGATACGTACATATGTAGCCAGTGAGATATGACCTTTCAAACAGGTGGCAACCCTAATAAAAAATATTTCCAAACTAATACTTTTTTAAAACTCTTTCCTTTAATACACCTATGAATTATTAATAACTTGTGCATAATTTAACAGAATCCGACTTTTAAAACAGCACAAAACACTCTTTAAAATATTTTCAAACTACAGCCTTCTTAAGCCTCTTTCGTTTGACACCCTCTTAAAAATTATGTTCAAGCTAAAATCTTCTTAGATCTCTTTCGTCTGACATTCTGATACGTATTTCAATTAACTCATGAATTTGACTTTTTCCTTTTCAAGCCCTTTTCGATTTATACCCATTTTGTAATAATTCACTTCACTTATTAAATAATTTGAATTTGACTTTTTAAGTAGGCAACCCTCTTCAAACATCACAAATGTTTCTTAACACTTTTTCGTTCGACACCTCTATTGTAATATTTCATATACATAATTTCTGTATAATTTAATTAAATTCCACTTTTCAAACAGCACACAACACTATTCAAAATATTTTCAAAATACAGCCTTCTCAAGCCTCTTTCGTTGGACACACATATTGCGATACATATTTCAATTACCTAATTCCAGTAAAACAAGTCAAACTTAACTTTTTAACCAGGTGGCAATCCTCCTACGTATAGTTGAGAAATAAAGCCGTTTCAAAACCATTTCGATTGATACCTATATTGTAATAATTCAATCAACTTATTATATAATTGAATACAATTTTTTAACCGGTGGCAACTCTTCATAAAAAAAAGACCTTATTACACATCTACAGACCACGCTCTTTAATTTGACACACCCCATTTTTTAAAATGAACTAACGGTACATACAAATATGTTACGTTATATATACTTATGTATCTCCCTCATTTATATACATACATATTTATTACAATAAATTAAACTTTCTCTCTGACCTTTCGCTTTCTAGTGCACCCCCACTGTTTACCCCGCTGATCCCTTCGATCCCGTCGAGGATGCTGCCATTCTGCGCAAAGCCATGAAAGGCTTTGGCACCGACGAGAAAGCCATTATTGAAATTTTGGCACGTCGCGGCATTGTACAGCGTCTGGAAATCTCTGAAGCTTTCAAAACATCCTACGGCAAGGATTTGCTTTCCGAATTGAAATCCGAATTGAGTGGCAAATTTGAGAATGTTATCGTAGCATTGATGACGCCATTGCCACAATTCTACGCCAACGAATTGCATGATGCCGTCTCTGGCGTAGGCACCGATGAGGAGGCGATCATTGAAATTCTCTGCACACTTTCCAATTACGGTATTAAGACTATTGCACAGTTCTATGAGCAGAGTTTTGGTCGTTCATTGGAATCAGATTTGAAGGGTGACACTAGCGGACATTTCAAACGCCTATGTGTGTCGTTGGTGCAGGGCAACCGCGATGAGAATCAGGTGAGTTGAGTAGCTTTTATAGCTGAGTGTGTGTGTGTGTTTTTTTTTATCTCTCATTTAAGTATTGTAATAATGAACGATTTCTCATTTAATTTGCTAAGGGTGTTGATGAAGCCGCTGCTGTGGCAGACGCACAAGCCTTGCAAGAAGCCGGCGAAGGCCAATGGGGCACCGATGAATCCACATTCAATTCGATTTTGATCACACGTTCCTACCAGCAGCTGCGACAGATCTTCCTCGAGTACGAAAATCTTGCTGGACATGATATTGAGAAGGCGATTAAGCGTGAATTCAGCGGCTCAGTGGAACGTGGCTTCCTCGCCATCGGTAGGTGGAATTTATTTGGTTTTAATTTTGCAGAATGCTAAATATATTTTGTGCTTTTACAGTGAAATGTTGCAAATCGAAGGTCGATTACTTCGCCGAGCGTTTGTACGAGTCCATGCACGGTATGGGCACCAAGGACAAGACGTTGATTCGTATTGTGGTCAGTCGTTCAGAAATCGATTTGGGCGATATTAAGGAAGCATTCCAAAATAAGTATGGCAAGAGCTTGGAATCGTGGATCAAGGTAAATATGAATGTCTATTTTGTGTTCTATTGCACTCTGGCATACGTATA